AACCGCTTCCCCAGAAACACTCCTCCTTCCAGTTTCTCTTCTTTTGAAGTGGCAAAACACCTGCTAGTCTTCAGTACTGTAATACTTTTGCTGCTTTCCAAACTGCTGCGAAGAAAGTCTACTTCTAACTTCTTTTCTCCCCTCTGATTTCACAATTCTTAACTCCCTCATCTTTTATTTAACACACAAGACCTTCTGTCTCGGTTCTTGTCCAATTTTTCTTTTCTTACTCCTGTTGCTGGAGACAGAATGTATCCAGCAGTTGCATGAAAGTACTGGCTTTGGGCAGCTGAAGTTACTGCTTACATACAGGCGTTAACTTTCGTAACGAGGAGCAGCAAATCAAGGCTGGTCACTAAAGGAAATTCTGCTTTTCTTTACTTGTAAAAGGTGACTCTGAGAGGTCTTTGCCATGAGAGGACATCAGAGGCTTTGTATGGGAAGCCACAGGGAAGACTGGTGCATTACTTCTTTGCTTTTTGGAAGCAGGGCCTTTAGATTCATTGTGGCAGATTGATAGGAAATGGGCGCTTTCATTACCCAGCAGTGCAGAGGGAGATGAAAGTGACTGCAGACTTAAAGGTAGTTTCTTTAATACTTCTGGAATGCTTCGTCTGGGTAAAATGACTCAGAGCAAAGGCATGCTTTCCTTAGAAAATATTACCTGCCATTTGGAGACCACTCAGTGTAATTTTGGACCTATATAATAAAGTCAGACAGCACTAAATATAAAAAATTAGGTATACTTAGAGGTATTCAGATATATTTGTAGTTAACTTTGTCAAAGAAGACTCCTGCAGGAAGCAATCTGGATTTGGCAACAAAAACAAGCTATTCATAACATCACTGGAAGCAGGGCTTTAAAAATAAAGGTATTAACTAGTGGGAAAACTGTGTTTAAATAAGCCCCTCCTTTTGAGTCAAAAATACAAGAAAAAAGAAAAGGAGAATATTGGTTTTCCAAGGTTACCTTTTTAGGCCTGTATAGGGATATATGTGGCTTGACAGTGTCTTGAACAGTATAACCCATTATTTTGTGTGCAGGAGGGGTTGTACTGAAGTGAGTTTGAGAGCAGTGAGTGTGAGGCGGCAGCAGCAGCAGAGCTGGATATGGAAGGAGTAAGGAGGTGATAGCTGATGGAGAAGGCTGGGATGTGCCTGTGTTCCAGAAAGGGGTCCAGAGGGGGAAAGAGGGACGTGGATAGCTGAGGGAGATACAGGCCTGAGGCTGCTGAAGAGAGAAGAAACAAGATTAAGAATATGGTGTTAACTTGGATCTTTTGATGTCTCTCCAGTGGTTTGGATGAAACTCTGATACCTCAGTGGGCCTCAGATCCATGCTCACCAAGAAATCATCATTTTGACCAGCACTAATTTAAGAACCTCACTGGCAATTTGAGCAGAGAGATCAAAGGTGGAAAGACCACAGAAACAAGAGCTCTCTTTCCTCTGATTAAAGGGTGTTCTTCCCAGGCATGCTGATGTGATCCTCAACCTCTGGCTGCAAAATCTACTCCTCCTTTCTCGTGTCTTCACCAGAATATGAACATTTTCTACTGTTCCTTGTTGGACCCAGGAGTTTACAGAAATCTGAAGTGCTTGGCCACAGCTTCCTTTCTTTCATGCTGTCTGTCCTGCCCCTTCCTATGTCCACACTTGTACTTTAATTGGCAGGGGTGAAATCCAGTGCTTAAAAGGTGATGTAGTGCTAATCTGCTTATCCCTCCAGAGCATCATCAAACAGCTCTCAGCACGATCCATTAGCTGTACATCGGTAGTCTTCCTCAGTTGCTGTTTCATTTCCTCAGCACATAAAGTTACTGTATCTTACAAGGGCTGTTGCTTCTTCTGAGTTACCTTTTCTCAGTTAACAGAGTGCTGTTTAACTTTTGATGTCTGTTTAATGTGTTTAGGAAATGTGTCTCAAATGACTTTCAAAGACTTGTTAAGCTGGGATGAATGTGAAGTACCTTCCCCCCTTCTTTAAAGACCAGAAACACACAAAGCTTTTTGTTTGAGTTAACAAGCATGACATCTTCCATTGACTTTTGGAATGTGAGTTTCATCTTAAGGTTCCCTCTGAGCTCAGCTCAGAGCCTGCAGAATGTAAGATGGAGTTACTCTTTCCAAAATTGGGGTGAGAAATTAGTATGAAAATGAATAGCATGAAAAACATGCAAAAATAGCCTCATGTAACAAGAAGTAACATCCTTAGAAACTAATAAACTTATTATTATGTGAAATAGAGGAGTTTTGGTTTAAAATATGAAAATATAGTTTATATATTATGTGTATATATATTTTGGATATTAAAAATGTAGTTTCTCCTGCTTTGAAACATCAGTCCTGTAGAACAGTTTGAGTAGAATTATGCAAAAATAGCCTCATGTAACAAGAAGTAACATCCTTAGAAACTAATAAACTTATTATTATGTGAAATAGAGGAGTTTTGGTTTAAAATATGAAAATATAGTTTATATATTATGTGTATATATATTTTGGATATTAAAAATGTAGTTTCTCCTGCTTTGAAACATCAGTCCTGTAGAACAGTTTGAGTAGAATTGTTGGCATATTAGTTACACACTTTCTTTTTTTTTTTATCAGGGTGTGGTGTTTGTAAGAGAATGATGCCATCTTACCAGCAGGCAGCCACAGAACTGAAGGGTAAATATGTAAGTGAAAAGATAAGATTTATATACAATTTAAAAAAAATCCTTCTAACACTTTTTTTTCATTTTAGTATTTAAAACCACAAATACTTACCAAAGTGGGGAATTTTAAGCAATTTTGAACAAAACATAATTCAATTACTCTGTTCCAGATCCCTTCAAGATTCAGTCTCTTGGTTTTTATTCTTTATAAAACTTTGTAGAATTAGTTATTGACTCAGTTGCCCATTGGATCCCATGTAGTTCTTGCTGTGGGAAAATAAGCTCAAATGCTATGTAGTTGTATGTGTAGCTTTTAATTTGTGAGTTTGTAGTCCTGTTGAGCTCATGTTGCAAAAGATAAAGAAATGTTTGCCATAATGGGTTTGATCAGTGTTTTGGCCTGATATTGCATTGAGGAATCAAGAATGATTGCTCTTATAGTGATAGTTAATGCACTTTTTTAGTGTCATGGGAGAGGTATTTCCCTGCATTAGGTATTTGCTGCCCTCCTAGGCACTATGTGTAAACATTAATAAAATATTGTTGTTTTATTATAGCTCTGTCAACAGGGTTAGCATTCATATCAGATTGAAGTTTTAACCACTGTAAAATCCATCAACAGCAGTCACAGTAACTTAGTTACCTATTTGTACTGATAAAGTGTGTTGATCTCCCTAAGCAAGTTGAAGGCACTTCTGAAGTCAAGTTTGTATGATATGCTTAATGTATAAATTATGATACCAATAACACATGAGTGACAAAGAAAGAGGTTTTGTTTCACAGCTTTAGTTGGATCCCACCTGTTGGATTATTTGCTGTCAATTTTCCAGATTTCCTCGGGAGGAAAAGATGAAGCACTGCAGTTCCTCACTAGGGTAGCTCTGACCAGTGCTTCTCATAAGCAGCAAGCACTGTCAGACTCCCCCACATTCTCCTAATTAGTTGTTCTTCAGAAGTATTTTCTCTAAATCCTTGTTTGCTTAGGGCTGAAATGAGTGGGAGTTGTTCACATTTATTTAGGAGACTGTACAACCCTTGAAGATATTTTTGAGTGTTTTTTCCCAGCCAAGCAGCACTCTGCCATCTCCCCTTGGTGAAGCCTGTGCCACAGGACTGGGGAAGGTGCTCCCATCCTTCACAGCAGTTACATTGCCAGGTGTGGGGTGGCAGCAATTAGGAATGGAAAGAATGACCTACGGAGGTAATGCCAGAGAGGAGGCAGAGCTCTGCGTTCTCTGCAGTTATCTTATCCTTGACCACATGCAGCTTGTTTTGTTAAATTCAGACTGGAGAATTTAAACTCCAAATCTTTTCTAGTTTGATTATTTCCTTTCTCACTCACAAATGGTTTCTGTGGATCTGAGCTAATCCTGCACAGCTGAGTAACAAGGCTGTGGCACAGGAGTGCCTGTGCTGGATGTAGCTCAGCTCAGGGATGCATTCTGCACTGGAGTGGTTTTAGTGCACGATCAGTTCAAAGGAAGGTACAGTTATGCCATTGCCACCTGTGCCACCTTTCACAAAAATCAGTCTCTTAGTCTAAATTTGACCTACTTAGCTTCCTAAGTGGGACGTGTATAAAGATTGCCATTTCCAAAGTTACCTGTGCTGTACCTATCATAAATTATTCATAGGATAACTTAGAGCAGTGTTGACCTCTGTATCAGGCTTTGCTTGGAAGTTTATGATTGGTTTGGATGAACTGAATGTTTGGCCTTTTAATCTGACCTGTCGTTAGCTGTCAGAATGTGCCAGGCTCAAAAGTCATTATTACTATTAAATAGCAAGAAAATGACGTACAGTATTGCCTATTTAATAGGTCATAAAAATGAAAAGGTGAACTGCACCTGTCACTGGTTGCACTGTTCTCTTGGGACTGGTTGTTTCTTGTCCTAGTACCATGACTGGGAGGAAGTCCAGGTGGTGTTTTCAGTCCTACATTCGGTTTAGATCTTGCGGTTCCGTTTACATCCAGTGCAGAAGCACTGAAACAGAAGAGGATGGTTTATTTATCCTTGGCACAAGAGACTCCTGTGATTTGTGACTAGACTGAGCTCTTGCAAGTGACTTTCAGTGATGTCCTGTGGCACTAGTGCAGAAGGGAACTGGTGGTCAGCAAAGCACATCAGCATCTCCTTGGTGCTGTGGACTTCAAGAATGTGCCAGAGTACTTCACTCAGTAAGACCAGTTTGAGCATATGCTTAAGTGCTTTCCTCCTTTGGTGCTAGTCTTTTTGCTAAAAACATGAGACTTCAGAAGCGTGAATTTCCCCTACACTTATTTCAGATACCTTCCTTTATTTAAGGAAGCTTTTGTTTAATCTGTTCAGTAAACTTGGCTCTAGAAAGGCCTCAGGTAGTGGCGTTAGGTACCAATTTTGGAGCAATTCCTTCAAGAAAACTGAAGCTAGGGAGAGGTCACAGTAGAAGGAGAGTGGTTGGAAGCCCAGAAGACATGACCACACAGGAGAGGTTCGGAGTTGGTTTACGTTGTAGGTAGCTTGGTGGAGAGCAGTTAAGCATTGAAATATGTCAAATGTCACTGCACAGGTGAAAGGAATAAACCGATCTTCATGTCTGCTGTGGCTATTACAAGAGGTAATGGACTGAAATTGAAGTCAGGGTCATTGAGTCATTTGCTAAAAGCAAATTAGCTGAACATCTGGCAGGAGTAGCTTAGGTATAGAGAGAGGATCCTGGCTTTGGATAGTAGGTGTATTTTGATGGTGCCTGACAGCCTCATATTACATAATTCTGTGATTATAGACCAGGCAAAGCTGTTAGTGTTGTCATTAAAAGCAAATCCCAGTGTAATAGGCTTTTTGCTAATTGTGTTTCATGCGAGGTATGAACACAATAATGAATCCAAGTTATTGACTTGTATCAATCACTGCAGGTTGGGTGGACACAGTGAGATTATAGCAGACTATCTGACATGGCTGGGAATGCCCAATTTAAAATTTAGGAAATCCTCTGAAAGTTCACAGCAAATGTGGCATCTGTTAGACTGTTGTTTAGGAGGGAACTAGTTAAATGAGCCTGGTTCTCGCTTTATAAAGCAACCTCTGTATCTTGATCTTACTGCATTTACCTACCCTCAAGTGGTGATATAAAGGTTAAGGGAAGGGGAGAGTTGGATCTAGATCATCTAACATGAATGAAGTCAATCTGGTGGAACTATGAGGAAAATTCAGAGAGACTAGGCCAGCAATTATCAATCCTGTTTCTGTACTCTTTTCAGTTAGCTTTCCTTTATCCTTTCTGAGGATAGGGGAGAGAAAACAACATATCTTTCTCTGACTTTCCAGCATATTCTTGCAGAAGGTTGACCTTCAAATGAGGATTTTCTGCTCTAGGATTTATTTCATGCTGGCTCTGTGCACATTTGGTTGGTCTGTGCAGTTCACCACAGTCAGGAACTTGGTATTCAATTCTGATGTGGTATTCCAGCTGGAAGGAGAAAATCCTGGTTTTGGAGGGGAAAGGAGCAGGGGTTTGGCTTAAGACCTTGCTGCTAAAATGATTTTAGCTGTCAATGCCATAAACTAAGTTAATCACAAAGCGATATGTCAGCAATGGGCTGGTTAAAGGTTTGAATGCAGAGCAACCTCCATGTGAATCCCATACCCACAGAAACTCAGAATAAGTCCTATCTTCAAATTTTCCCATGAGAAATTTTTGGAAGGCGATTGGACAGGGCACAGAGTAAGTCCTACGAGCCCTAAGCCTGAAGGTTGAGTTTGGCATGAAGGGCTCTGGAGGTAGAGAGTGAGTTGGAATAGAATTAAAGAAAGAGGAGGAGAGGCTTTTGAAAAGTTACTGTAGTTCTGTGCCCCTCTTTTGATACCTGTAGGACAAGGTTAGTTCTTAATTCTCACTTTACCCTGCCAGTCAGGTGATTTAACATATTTAAAGCGTATCAATGTCATGTGGTATTTCCTCATGGAAATAGGGCATGTTTTTCTTTTCATATAAATGAAATGCTGATTTTTCCTTTCCATTCAGTAAGTGTATTTTTGAACTGGGATAATGCCAGTGCTTGGTGGGTTGGAGCTTCTGGACATTAGCTGAGATGCCAGTGTCATTGCTGGAGTGGAAACCAGAGAGGTGAGGGTGGAACTTCTCGTGTCCTAGCTAATATTTGGATGTGAACTAAGCCATGTACATGCAGAAGAAGAAAATCTAGTTAGGTTTTTAGTGTAAAATCCAAATAGGCAGAGAGAGAGCCAGAGCAAGGAGGACTTGACAAGCTGATTGGTGTGTTCTTTTTGTGGACTAGACTCATTTATGCTGTGTTCTTCCTTGCACAAAATCAGAAAAACTCCACTGCCTTTTACAGAGATCCCCTTGCTTTATAGCATGGAATTAAATTGGAATCTGCCCAGAGCTTAGCTGTTTTTACTTTACTCTTCAGAAAAAGTTGTAATGTTCCTGCTGCATTGTAAGAATCAATACAATTATGCTCTGTTTTTTTTTTTCAGGTTCTTGCAGGGATGAATGTTTACTCTGCTGAATTTGAAAGGATAAAGGAAGAATACAACGTCCGGGGATATCCTACAATCTGCTATTTTGAGTCAGTTACATTTTGCTACTACTTTAGAAATCATGCACTGAACTATAATTGCATCTTCTTATCTTCCAGGACAAGGACTAAACCTTGTTTTGTTGCTTTAACAGGAAAGGAAAGTTCCTGTTCCACTTTGAGAACTATGGTGCTACTGCGGCAGATATAGCAGAGTGGCTGAAAAAGTAAGGCATTGAACTTCGTGCACTCCACCTTCTAAGTACTCTTTATTATTTACAGAATATAATGGTTTAGGAACAGCCATCTCTCCCTCATTCCCTCTATTCAGAAGAGCAAATAAAACTACCTTGCTGAGATTGGCTCAACTGGTACAGAGACATTGCCTAATGTTTGGTTTTTACCATGCATGCCTGGCATGTTACAATTGGGTTTCACGAGTAACAGGAGGCTGTCCGTGGATCAGAAGGAATGCAGATATCCAGATCTCAGCTTCGTTAAAAATGCCAGCTTAAGCTTTCATTGGATGCCTGAACCGAGCAAAAGGTCTGACTGTTGTTTTATCTAGAAATGTATATACTGAGAGCACATTTCTCATTGGTTCTACAGCCTTTATCTAGAACCTCTAGAATGTCTTGCAGAGACAAAGAGGAGATCAAGGCAGTCTGGATTGCTAGTCATTTCTACAAAGTCTGTATTTCATGTCATGACATGAAGAGATATTGAAAGCATCTTGTTCTACCTAAAGAGAGCTGTTTGCAGGGCTGGTACTTGAACTAGTGCTCTTTGCACATCTTTGTCAGTGACATGGACAGTGGCATTGAGTGCCCCCTCAGCAAGTTTGCTGACGGCACCAAAGTTTGTGGTGAGATTGACACGCTGGAGGGAAGGGATGCCACCCAGAGAGACCTTGACAGGCTTGAGAAGTGGGCTTGTGCAAACATCATGAAGTGCAAGCAGGCCAAGTGCAAGGTCCTGCACCTCAGTCGGGGCAATCCCAAGTACAGATCCAGTCTGGGTGAAGAATTTATCATAAGCAGGGGGGCAGCGTTTCTGTTACCTCCAGGAAGTACAAACCCTGCAGGCAAGTATTGCCCAGTGGATCAAAGAGGATGAATTTAGCATAGTCTTTAAACCTTATTTAGTCTGTTAAGCCTTCAGATATGAATGATCAAGATGGCAACTCCAGCAATGCCAAGGAGATGATCAACCCTTGGAGCAAGGATATGACTTCATTACCTGCACTTGATTATGCTTTTCAAATTTTGCAAGGATGTGGCTATCTCTTGGCTACCACGCTGTGAAACATTAGATGTTTGGGGTGGGTTTTCTTTTCCCCTGTCTGCCCACATAATATCCAGATAATCCCTGTAATATGTAGTGCCTTTGTATAGTGCTGTGACAGCAAGTGAACACAGCTACTGGAGGCAGAGCAGAACAGCTGCAAGCTCTTTCCAATGATAATCTGTGCTAACAAGGCACTGTGGGCTTTGGCTGATATTTCAGCAGTCCAGAGCTAAAGACAGCCATTTGTCCTCACTTAGTGCATGCTTATTAGTCTCCCAAAAGATGGTCTGAGCAGTAGCCTTCTTGCCCTGGTTTTGTATAATAAGTACAACTTTTAAAGAAACCACATTGAGAGATAATGCATACTTAAATTTTGCCTGTAATTGATGTTGCAATTAAAACCATATAGGCGGTATATCTGCTACATGTGTAGTGTTATATTACTCTTGAGGAATCTGCAATACAAGCAGTCAAAAGGTAAGGCAAGGGCTTTAGGTAAGCCAGAGAGTGTAATTAGATAGCTGCAGGGCATATAGGCTGTATTTCAGAAGAGTATAAAATAGTGTTGTCACTATGATGCAAGACATTGGTCTGTGGAGCAGGGGCAGGGCCAGTTCTCAGGGCAGTGCCAGTGTTCAGGGCAGCCCACGGCCAGGAAAGCCAACATGTTTCACACTGTGCATGCATGTGCTGCTGTCATTGAGTCTCAGAAGACAATCCACTGTACACTGAGCCATGTAAAATGACCTGTTTTTTGTGGACACTAGGTACACGCTGCAAAAAAGCAACTGTTTCTTCTTCCATCTCCTCCTTTTCTGTCTTTTCCCTTTGAATGTTACTAGTAATGTGCTGAAAGTGGTTACTATTTTTTTGGGGGGTAGGACACAATATAACTTAACGAAGGTTAAAATTATTTGAGTTATTGAAAGGATGTTTTCCATGTGCTTCCCTGTTAGAAGAGAAACTGCTAGTTGGGAGGGCTAAAACAGCTTTTCTTTTACCACTTACCGAAGGTGCTTCTTTCTTATGCTGAAATGTGCTAATGCATCAGACTTAGAGATGATTAACCTCTCTTATCTTCTGAATAGGCCCTGGCTACTACCTTATGGAGCTTCACATGCTTTCATGAGGCAATAGGAGAAACCATCATACAGCCTTACTCCAAAACAGCATTATTAACTGTGCTGTCTTGTACATACTGCAAATCTTGTAATCTGATACACGGCTCAATCAGCCTGCATGGTAGGCAAGCCAGACAGCTCCTTGCTGCCTTCGGTAGCTGCTTTGTTAGTCTAGCTGTTTTTATGGAGTTCTCTTGGGCCCTGTCTTAGCACCAGCTACTCAGTTAAATCAAGAACTTGTTCTCTATTCTTAATTGAATTAGCGCTTGATAGCTTTTCCAGACTTCTGTCGTTCTTTTTTTGGTCTTCAGGCATTGGATGTGCCTTGTCTCAGTTTTAAATGACATTTTAGATTTTGCTTGTTGCTTCTTCCAGGCCTTGAGGTGCTTCTTCTCAACTCCTGTGTAGGCTTATTAGCATGCACAGCATTTTAAATTGGGCCATTGGAATAAACATCCTGTGCCCTGCTTTACTAATTCCTCACTGAAATAGGTCATGCCAGGCAATGCTAAACTCATTCTCCCAGTGCTTTGAAGCCACTGTGTCCATGTTCATCATGCTCTGCCTACTCAACCCAGCTCCCCTTCCAAATTCATTAAGTGTCACGGTATGTTCTGGAGAGCCTTTGCTCTGCCAGGATACCTGCAGATTGCTGCTCTCTTACAGGCTTGGCAACAAGCAAACTGATTAGCTGCTAAGCTTTTAGAGAGTAAACTCTTGTGAATGGGGACCTGCCTCTTTTTCTCTCTTGGCTGAGTGTAGCTTCGATCTTTGCTTTGAGGCTTGTTTCTTGGTTTGTTTATCATAAAAGCAGCAGCAGAGTTGTGCCTCACACTTTTGCGTGGATTGGTTAATATTTGTGATTCAGATCCATTGCTTACATCAACAGAATTTGCTATCTGAATCTGTGTATCTCTCTACTGCCTTTTTTATCAGCAAACTAGGCTTTCAGTCTAGAAATGAGCAAGGCAGGATAAGTGAGTTATCATCTGTTTGCCATTCCTTGTTCCAGGCACCTAACACAATAATACATTTTAATTAAAAAAAACAGTAAATCTTCTTTCATTCAGAGATGGGGTCACATCCATACCTGTATTTTGCCAAAGAAATTGGGGAATTTTGGAATTCATTGCTAAAACTGGCAAAGATAAAATACCTTTGAAGTTTGGCTCCAAAGTTCTTGTGTTTGGATGTCCTTTATATGAACACTTTTAATAAATAGTGTCAATTAGCATAGTTTAGCTCACATCTGACAAATTCCCTTTTTAATGTACAGTAATAAAAGCCAAGAACAATTGTTTAATGGAATGATGATCACTGAACTGGTCCAGAGTACCCTGGGTTTCAGTTTCTAGATTTGCTGCCATGTCTTGAAGAAGTCTCTTTGGCTCTGATCTGTCAAAGATGGATAAACTCATATACAATCATAGAGTCTGTAGAGCATGTCACTTATCTTTTAGGTTAAGCATGCAGTTGAGTAGCTTTGCTGAATAAGCCTACAAGTCCATTGTCAAGTGAGGCCATAAAGATGCTTCCCTGGGTCACAGGGTTGTTTGGGGAAAACTGTGTGTTCCTGAGGAAATGGTCTGTGTAGCTGGTTCATGGTCCCAACACTGCACCTCCTTTCTCTGTCAGCCTTAATCATGCTGCCAGTATTCAAGGTGACTGGTTAGATTGGCTGTTTCAGCTTACTACTTTTTGCTTTCATTTGTCATGGCTCCTGTGAGCTGCAGAGTGTGACTGCTGTGAGAAAGAGGGCATCCTGCCAAGGAGGGTAAAAGACTAGCAGAAAATGCATCCGTTTTCTATAATGTAATAACCAAGTAGTCTGGTTATCTCCTTTCTCCATCCCCTTCCATTACTGATCTGTCCTTGTGAGTTTCATGTGGATTTTTTTACTCTTCCTTCAGTTTTATCTGAGTTTCAGTGCTTATGAGTTCTGGGTGGGTACAGTTATGGAAGCTGTTCAGTAGGGTGACTGTATCATACATACACAAACATCTGCACAACATAGTTGCTTGTAGTCCAACTTCCCAAAATGATCAATTAGTACTAGAGAGCTGCTTCTCAGCTGTATCTTTGTCTTTCAGCCCACAGGCACCTCAGCCACAGGCTCCAGAAACTCCCTGGGCAGATGAAGAAAATGTAGTTTATCACCTGACTGATGAGGACTTCGACAAGTTTATAAAAGATCATTCATCTGTGCTAGTGATGTTCCATGCACCATGTGAGCTTGTTTTTTTTTCTATTCTGTACCCTAAGCCAAATGCTTGTTAACAAAACAAACTATGATTTTCTGTGGAGGTTTCACAGAGCTATGAGCTCAAAGTCCAGGCTTTTCTTGTTTGTGATGATTGTTAAATACACAGGGCCTGAAATGTTTGTGAAGTTGCTGACTTCAGGTTTAGAAAGGAGATGTGCTGCTGGAAGAGATGCTTTGTAGTCTGAGTCAAAACATAACTGAAGAGTGTAATGATGCTTAAAAAGTCTGAGGACTTACCATTTTACAGCATGATTTCCCATTTTCAACTCATCTTCTGTATTGTTTTATTTCAAAGCAGAGTGCTGTTTGGTTGAGCAGCTCAGTTTGAGAACCATGGGCTCCTGAGTCCTTGTTCATGGCTGCCAAGGTGTCATTCTGAGAATTTTAACTCCTCTGCACAGTTTGTTCTCTGGCAACATGATGGTTGTTACATATTCTGCTGAAATATGCTAAAGCTTGATCTAAGTTCACAAAGTCCCCAGGACTTTTGAAATCTAAAGCAGAGCTGGTAGTGATACTACTTCCTGTTTGACTGAGAATGCATTGAGCAGATTTTTTTCATGACTTGACATTTTAGATTGAACAATAAAATGCAGTGGGTTGCCCAGAGGTACTGCCCTCAGAAAGCTGTTCTAGCCACATCACCCTTCTGTACACTGTTGGGTGGGAGAGTACGGGTGGAAGAATGCATTAACCACTTTGTTCACTTAGGATGCAAGTTGTTCCAGCTATGTAGCTGGTTCTACCAATTCTTTGTGTCTGCAGTGCACGGTTCAGGCTCAGATCTCCTTTGCTGGGTGATACACAGCTCTGGTTTCCCTTGCTGCTGTGCTTGCAGTTGCACTTGGGCAAAATGTTAATTTTCATGGACATAGATTTGAAGGTTAGGGCTCTGGAGGCAGGCTGTGTGCTCACAGCTGAACAGCAGCAGGTCTTGGCACAAAGGCTGAAATCCTGCTTCTCTGTAAGCCAGCAGGAGTTAGCTCCAAAATGCCTTTTCTGAAGATCTGCTAATAAGACTCATTTGAAAAACATACCATAATGAATTTCCTTTGCCTGATGAAATGCCTAGGGATTTGACCCACTGAAGCAGGGTGACTGGCTGCTGTTTTGTCACTGTGTTCACTGGATTATTTGCCCTAATTAAAGTGGGACTGGAGATTAACGCCTAGTCTGAAAATGAAAACACAAGTAGCAGAACTGATGAAGCCTAGTTTGCTCAGGACTTATCCTTTGTCATCCAAAGCCTTCCTTCCCCAGATTTCCATGCACCCCAGTGTGCAAGCGAGGGCTGCTGCTCCTCGGGAGCTGTACACTTGCTGGTTTGGCAGAACAACTGCTGCCAAACAGGAGTGTAACTGCTGTTATTTCCCTTGTTTCCCTCTTTGTGCACAAATGGCTTGGGATAAGTGTCATTTCACTCGAGTCCCACATTTCTGTGTATGTACAAAGATATAGTTGTGTTTAAAAGCTTTGCTGATTTTTGAGTTTGTAAATAGGCAAAGGAGTCTGGTCAGGTACTTGGGAGGAGGAAAAGAGGGAAGAAATCAACAGTTGGCCCTGCAAACCTTATTTCTTTGGAAAATCTGATTAAAAATAGATGAATACACATAACCACAATCAGATTTTGTAAAAAACTCAATTTGAACAAGACTTCAGTTTTTAGGGTTTTTAATATCTTCTGAAACGCAAACAGTACCATTATAGTGGTAACAGAATTGTGTGACCTGTTTTGTTTTTTTTTTGAGGGGGAGTACTTCCAGCTAGGTGTGTTTTATACTAGGGGCATTCTGTGCTAAGGTACAGCAGTATTTTGGTAAATACTGTTTTTAAACTAAAAAATGCCTGGGTCAGGCTGTTGCAGTCTCCTGATAACACATTCCAGCTGCTCAGAACTGGAATAAAAAATATGCCTTACCAGAAAAAATCCATTTTAAAAGCAACTTGAATAATTGGGGCATTTTATTTACATTCAGATGGTAGTGATATGGCTATGTGCAGAAAGCAGCTTGCACATGTGTAGAAGTTCTGTGTTTGTAAGAATCCTCTCTGGGCATTCTCAGCAGAGAGTATAAGGATTGCAAACTAATGACAGAGAACTTTCGTAAACAGTTATCTCCATGATTAAAAGATCTTCTCTTAGCACTTCTTAAACGTGCTAATGAAGTCACCTTATGCAAATAAGCAGCTAAATTACTCCAGTAAAAGAAACAGTAAAAACGGAGGACATCTTGCTTGTTTGAACTTTGGTAGCTTTGGAGGAGAAAATTTCTTCTAAAAATTATATATTAAGAAAATAAAATGTTGAAACAGGTGCACAAAATAGGCCTAGAGTTCAAGATATACTTCTATGTAACTAAGAATAAGCACTGAGATCCCAGAACTGGCCTGGAATTAGCAAGTACTTAAAGCCCCATAGCACCATGGAGTGTACACGTGACTGGAGTTTTTCTAGTGTACTATCAGTCTTGTGTCCATGAGTTCTCTTACTAGAGAGAGAATTATTTCAGTTATGCTTTAATTGCATAAGTCAAGTGGCCAATGCATTAATGAATGTGTAGTATTAAAAGATGTGTGGGGAATTGGAAGCTTTTTTTCCCCCTCCCTCTGCCCCTCCAGCTGAACCAAATGCATCCCTGGTAAATACCTGTGAACTGCAGAATTGAGCACTGTGATGAATGTGACCAAATTGGGCCTCATGCCTGTGGCTACTAACGATCATCCAGGGGGACCACACTATAATTATTTACAATCAGCTGCACTTACTAGCCCAATTAAAGGCCTCACAGCGTTTTGTGTCAAGTGCAGTCTAGCATAACTAGATTCAAGCAGAGCAGCTATGTTTGGTTTAAACACATCAGGAAGGTCTGCAGCAAGCAACTTGTACTGCTTGCTGTTGGAGACCTTATACCTTTTCTGCAATAAATTTAGCACAGCTGTTGAACAGAAGATGTGCTGCTGCTTCAAGACGTTACTGCTGGTCCTGAGAAACGGGTGACTGTGGGTCAGCAGGATGAGTTCATCCTGCTTTAGTTTTCCTGGTCACCAGGGACACAAGGCAGGGTTTTTAACCTTCTGAAACTTCTTTGTTAAAGCACTTAAGAGGATGTTCAATTAATCTGAATATTTAGTTTAGGTAAACAGTGACCCAAACAGTCAGGAGTCTGAATGCACTCTCCCTCCTTAGCCATGTGTGAAGGTTATGCAGCATTTTGCTCCTATTTTGCTGAAATTTGGTAATGGCTTGTGGCAAGCATAGTGTTATCCTGGATACCTACAGACTGGGGTCATGCAGACATCTGAAGTGTTTCTTCTGTGTGTTGCTGTTGTACCCAGAAACTTCAATTATCAACTGAGATCTCTTGCACTATACAGAAGAGCAAATAGGTGGCCTTATCTCCCAAAGGCTTTGGAGTTTTTGCTTGGGTTGATCATATTTCCTAACATGAGATAGATAACACAGTTATGTTAACAAGCTTATTTCCAAGTCTCACAGAAAATATATGGCACCAAACAAAGCTATTTCTGTACCACAACATAAAGGCAGGCACCTATGCAGCTTATGATAGTCTTCTGTTAGCAATAAAGACTCCATGTCGGTATCTGCTGCTTGGTACCTAAGCCTACAGCTGATAATTTATTTAGATGCTGAAGGTGACAGATGGGTTCTGAATGTCCCTAGATTTGGGTTACCCTGCCAGCCAAGTCTTGTTAAATGCTTTAGTGTCATAGGGACTTGCTAGGACTTAAAATGCTCCTGGATCACTTGAGCCCAGAAAAAGCCCTGTTTGTGTTTCCATTTGTCCTCATCAAACTGCTTGCTGAGACAAATGCAATTTGAAAAATAATTTTGTCCAAAATATTTACCAAATCAGTGCATCTTGCAGTCTTTCAGACTTGGTTTTCTCCAAGGGATAAAAACCCCACAGATTTTTCTTTCTACATTTTTCGTAGCATTTTTCTCCAAAACACAGTCTGAGAGTCTTGCACAGAATAAACCTAACCAAGTCACTGATAAGCCAATTCAAATGCTACGAAAGGATGTTTCAAGTCTAGGATTGAAATTATATTCCATTCAGAAATGAGTTCTACAAGTGTCTGTGCTTAATGCACAGGAGTTACTTTTCATGTTTATTATGTTTTGTTATCACAACTGACATTGCTGACATTTTAGTGTACCTGTTCCTGCAGCCTCATGTGCAATAATGTCCCGGCACCACCAGGAGCTGTAGCCTGCCCAGGTACATTCAGCGAGTACAGATCTGAGTAGTTGCTATTGCTAATGAGTGGTGGTCCTCAAGTCACCTCTGATGATTGCTTGGGGTAGCTTTGCCCCCACATCATACCCCATTAGCCATAACAAAGTCTGTGGTCCAGTACTGATGCCAGAGGTAACAGAAGAGAATAAGGCATTTAGCTCTACTGTTAGTTTGAGTGTGCATTTGCTTTCTAAAGCACAATAATATTAAAATGTTTATAAATGTTTTTCCTGCAACATTTTTTCCCTGTACATGAACTTAAATTCATATTAAACTTGTCTTCTTCCCAACTCTCTTCATAGGACTTCAGAGGCTTTATATAAGCTGCAGTTGCAGGACTTAAGTTTAGAAAAAAAATGTTAGTAATCATAGTGGAATATTTGAGCTGTCACAGTTTTCCTCCCTTGATAAGAGGGAAGGCAGGAAATATGCAGCTGTTTGATTATTTTTTGTTGTTGTTGTTCCTTCTGTTCCTTCCCCTCCTTAATTTCTTCCTAGAAACTGCTTTGGAGATGCAGCTCTCATACCTTTTCTTGCTCCCCCCTAATGGAAGGGGGACATAAATCCTGAGATGATAAAATGCACTATAGTTTTGATGTGTTGTTGAAACCTCTGTGAAATTCCTTTCCTGTCCTCAGATATTTTCTCTCCCTTTGTAAACCAGCCCGATAAATTACGCAGTTGGTGCTTTCCAAAGCCAACTAT